ACCTGATATGGCACGCGTCGGATCAGGCACAGAGTATGAACTCTGCTCCAAGGCTGACGGACCATGGTATATTTTTCTCAGTCTAATGAGAACCTGATTGGCGGTTAGTCTGCGACTACCTTTGTCAGGTAGGGAAGCAACACAAATGTGTGGATTGGGAAGTAGACCACCTATGACATATTTCAGGGAACTCTCCTCATCCTTTCAGCTAACCTGTAGCCATCCAGGCCGGAATGAGCAGCTCTGGACCATCTTCTGGAAAATCCTTCATGGCAGCTATAATGGCATAGGGAAGATATTGCAATTAATGACTCCAATATTGAGGTTGTCGGATGTTCAAGATGCAAGGTACTCACCTCAATGACCGTAGCAGCTATCCCATATGACGACATATAATTTTATTTTGTAACCGTTGTAAAGGTTTCAAATGAGAGGGGTCATAATCACATCAATACTTCCATGTCTATAATATACTTCTACAGTTTGGAATCCTCTGTATCAAGTGCACATAACCAACTCATAATGTATTCGAAATAAGTTCGCACCTAACGTCATTCTGTCAGACCTGTGCCAGTGGCGATTCTTTTTATGTTCGCTCCATCACCTTGCAAACTTCGCCATAGGCGTAACAAAAGTCAACGTTAATTGTCTCCGAGTCGTAAGATGCCTACATTTATATGTACGTAATTACTATCTCTGTCACTTACAACTTTGGCGGACCCATGTGAATGTTCATATGTATTATATATAATATTCGAAAATGAACCTGAGATATCAAAACATATTTTTAATTAATATGCCGTCGACCGGCATATTGGTCTCGATTTAGTGATCTGGGAGCCCGTACTATGTCCCTAATATGCCTGTCAAATAGTTTTTCTGATGTCTTCAATGCAGAAAAGGCATTTGAAAAGATAATTTTGATTGTCAAGTTGGCGGGAATTCGGTCAAAATGTTGAAGAAAACCAATTTCTAAATTGTCGACGTTTTGAAACTTCATTGTTTCATCTTTAGGACTCTGAAGTATAAGAACAAGACATACATATTGAAATGGAAATTTACAAAGCAGTTCTGTTAGAAACAAAATAAATTATGTAATATAACAATCGTAAAAAAATAATAAACGTTTCGAACACTTTACAAAAAAACAACGTTGATGAGTACTTACGCATTTAGGGCGGCTTTCCGAGTTAAGGGTGAAGTGAATAATTTCGACATAAAACATAAATACGTACACAGGTCAAAATTATTCACTTCAACTCGGAAAGCCGCCCTAAATGTAAGTACTCATCTACGTTGTTTTTTGTAAAGTGTTCGAAACGTTTATTTTTCAACGATTGATATATTACATAATTTATTTTGTTTCAAACAGAACTGCTTTGTAAATTTCTATTTTGATATGTATGTCTTGTTCTTATACTTCAGAGTCCTGAAGATGAAACAATAAAGTTTCGAAACGTCGACAATTTAGAAATTGGTTTTCTTCAGTTCCTGGGTCAGTTGAATCTTGTACGGGTGCAGGCCTAAGACATGACACAAAATTCGCCAAGTTGTGGTCTTCGAAAGGCCGAGTTCTTGTGAGCGATGCGAAATCGACTGCCTCGGATTTTCTGAACAGATACCGGCAATGTTTTCAGCAGATCTTGCGTTTCGCCTACGTACGGTTGTTCGTCGATCGTCTGAATCAGCGGACTCAAATTTATCAACCACATAGCGAATAGTCCTCTCGGTTGGACGATTACGGAGACCGTAAAATGGATGAAGCGCGCGGTACGTTGCCCGAACTGAACACCCATTTTGATAAAACAATTTTATTATTTGCAAGCGTTGTTGAATGCTCTGTCCGTTAATGGAAATTTTGCAAAACAAACTGAATAAATGACATCTAATTTGACAGATGTAGCTTTAACAAGATGGCCGTTATCAATTGTTAAGGTTCGAAAGTCCCTGTTGGGACCCTATACATGTCAAAAGTACATTTTGTGTTGACATTTCCGCGAAATATCGAATTTGTTAACATACATTTTCTCAAAATTCCTGTAGTGCAAGTACTGTCAACGGATATAATCCGTTATTCACGAAGAACTTGATAAAAACNAAAAAACAATTTCGAACCTTTAACAGAATTAGATTACTAATGTATGAAACCTCAAAGAGGTACAACCTGGTATTTCTTTCAAATAACGGTACAACTCTGATATAAAAATATGAAAACATAAACACAGATTATGTAGGAAATAAGGTAGGTTGGTAGGCAGGTGGGGTATTTTGTGGTCCATAAGTCCATGTACTTAACAAAGGTGATTAACTTAATTGGCGAGTGATCTTTCAGACGTGATGACAAAAGTGAAACTCTTTTGAACTCTAGAAACCTGATTTGGTCCACGGTGGGGCAGGCTAGAGTATGTGCTTTACTATTTCATCATCTTCCATACAGAGACGGCATGCACTGTCGTCCGACGACAGTGACCTACACGTAGGTTTTTTAGACAACGTAGGTCATCACTGCTGTAATGTAACCATTGTTTGTTAAATATTTGATGCCAATGACTGGTTCTGGTCCAATGAAACCGCTTGCTCTTGCAATTAAGTTAGCAGCTTCTTTGACTTCTGGTCCAGTGTGGGCTTGAATCCAGACTAGAGAAAATTTGTAAGTTTTTCTATTGAGGAGAATCATTTTTGTCAGTTTACTAATAACTTTGACATTGATCGTGCTTCTAAAGCCGCCCGGTTGTTCGAGAATATTTTTATCAATTTTTTGTGGCTGCCAACTTCTCTACATAGAAATACGGTCATTTAGGTCCCTAGACAGGATGATATCTCTGTCCTGGGTCTGCGACTTTTTATCCCTGCACCAAAACCTGAAGGAGATTTTGATCAATCTGTGACTATTCAGGATTAGGACTTTAAGGCAGTTGATAGTTTTAAATATTGTGTAGCTCATCTCAAATTCTACGACTTTCAGTGTAAGCCAATAGTATGTTACGCTCCGCATGAGCCTGTTTTGTGGAATTAGCAATATGCACAAATACCTACATAGGAATAGAGCTCCAGAACGGATATTGTCTAATTACTGCCGTTCTTGAAACATTGGATAATCTGCGATTTGGTTGTTATTCGCCAGAACGAGTGGATTAAGGGATATTTGGATCTCTGCGATTGATATGTATGAATGCCTGCAAATGATCGTAGCACGAACTCAAGAATAACGATTTTAGAGGAATCGTTTTCACGAACGACCACAGAACTAAGAATACGTAGAACTGCGAGTGATTTAGATTGTTATATTACATAATTTATTCTGTTTCTAACAGAACTGATTTGTAAATTTCCATTTTGATATGTATGTCTTGTTCTTATTCTTCAGAGTCCTGAAGATGAAACAATAAAGTTTCGAAACGTCGACAATTTAGAAATTGACTTGACAATCAAAATCATATTCAACGGTCGCCATCCTATTCAAATGAAAAGATAATAATTCAACCGTGCAAATTACAATCAGGCTGAATTTGACCGATGCCATTGATCATGTTAGTTTTGAGGACCGCTGAGGTTTGTGGCTTATTAAGACTTAAGAAAACCCCACAAGAAAAAGTCTAACGGGGTCAATTCGCACGATCTCGGTGGCCAGTTTACATCACCCCGTGTAAGATGACTATGGCCTCGAATCGCACGTGCAGAATATCCAATATGGCATGAGCTGTGTGGCACGTAGCGCCGTCCTGTGTTGTTGGTGTCAAGATCATCCAATTCAGGCTAAAATAAGTTGGTAATTATCGACCTATAGTGCTAGCCGTTGACAGTGATTGTCTGGCCTACGTCGTTCTCAAAGAAATATGAACCGATAACGCTGCTAGCCCAAAATCCACACAAAAAAGTGACTTTTTCGGGATGCATTTCATAGTGGATCTCATGTATGTCCCAAATTCGACAATTTTGCTTGTTCATGTACCCATTCGTCCAGAAATGAAGCTCATCGCTAAAAATGATTTTACGATGAAAATTAGGGTCAGTTGCCAACTGCTCCAAAGGTCAATTTAACGAACACACGTCGTTGTCTATGGTCGTTTTCCTTCAGTTCCTGGGTCAGTTGAATCTTGCACGGGTGCAGGCCTAAGACATGACGCAAAATTCGCCAAGTTGTGGTCTTCGAAAGGCCGAGTTCTTGTGAGCGATGCGAAATCGACTGCCTCGGATTCTCCTGAACAGATACCGGCAATGTTTTCAGCAGATCTTCCGTTTCGCCTACGTACGGTTGTTCGTCGATCGTTTACTGAATCAGCGGACTCAAATTTATCAACCACATAGCGAATAGTCCTCTCTGTTGGACGATTACGGAGACCGTAAAATGGATGAAGCGCGCGGTACGTTGCCCGAACTGAACACCCATTTTGATAAAACAATTTTATTATTTGCAAATGTTGTTGACTGTCATATCCATCCATGATGATTTGTCAAAACAAACTGAATGAGTGACAACTAATTTGACAAATGTAGCCTCAAGAAGATGGCCGTTACCAGTTGTCAAAGTTCGGAAGTTCCTGTTGGAAAACCCTATAGAATCAAAATCAGAAAAAAATTCATACATTCACAGACGGAACCTTCATTTCAGCGATTTATGTGTTGAATGAAAATGGGAAAAACAAAAGTGGCCATAACTTTCAATTACCCAGTATACAATTCTGAACTTGTATTTTATGAGAGTCGAGAGATGATTTCAAAAATGATTACTGAATATCACATTCAAAAAATATATTTGGTGTGCCACAACTTTGAGGAATATCTTTTATTATTTAGATCGTTTTGAAATTAAGATATTTCACTGTACCACCTAGTTAATAGCCGATCTCAAAAGTTGGATTTTTTTTAATTCGCCGTAATCTGATTTGATTGTCGGCTATCATTTGAAAATGTAGGTACAAGATCCGCAGGAGGAGAATCATTTTATTCTACAAGAAACATGTGGTATATTTTCCATAGGGTGGAAAAAAACTAAAATATTCATTAATTCAAACTTATATTTTACAAATACATAACATCACATCATTTAATCTCCACTCTCAACACCTTTACTATAGGTTCAACGCTCAAAAAGATTTTCACAGTTGCATAACTGGTCATTGAAAAGAATCACTCCACACTGTTGCTGGTAAGTAAACACTTCAATCAAATTATACCCTTTACTTTGGGTTTTTCAATACAAAAAGTCTCATTATTCATAATGATTGACCTTCCTGATTCCAGATCGTACCAGTTCTGTATCACTAGTTTCATTAGTGATATTTTCCATTAGGAACTTGCTACAAGTTTTATATCCAAGAAAACATCTCGACCAATCGGCTACTCAAAAGTTTTTCCTATGCACACTCAGATCTAATGGCACATCAACTTGAATGCTTTCTTCATAGTAGCTGAAATCACGGGAGCACTCATCAAAATAAGGTTCGATATATCTGTTCCAGGTACTCAGACTTTTTTTCTCATTTCTGATATTGATGAGGGCTTCAATTCTTAGAATATCGGTATGACTATTGCAACTGCTGACACTGCATCCTTTGCTACAACCGCATGGATGTCTTATAACATTTTCTCGGTAAATCGGTTGTGTTGACATCATTTCATTTCTTCTTACTTCGGAGTTTTGTAGATTATCGTCTACTAATGTTTTCTCAACCACAAAATGCCTGAAAGTCTTCGTGTGCTTTCTCAAGCTGCTGGGGTCTGTGTACTTCTTGGGACAACCTGGAACTTTGCACTGGTATGGCTTTTCAACTTGGTGGGTTCTGGTATGTTTGAATCTATCACTAGAATTGGAGTAGGCTTTGTTGCAGCCCGGAACAGTGCAGGCGTAAGGTTTCTCTCCGCTGTGAGATCTAGTGTGAATTTTCAGGTTCTCGGCTCTCGAGAAAGATTTGTCGCACTGGAAACATTTATGAGGCTTTTCGTTGGTGTGCGTTCGGACATGAACCAGCATTTTGTATCTAGAAAGAAAGATGGCGTTAATAACGTGAATTTAAAAAAATTATTAACACGATCTGATGTATTTTTGTAATTGCCACAAGAGATGATTTGGTAAAGAAAAATGTTTGTGCTTGTTCTTATTGTTGCCAAAAAACCAATTTTGAACCTTTAACAGAATTAGATTACTAATGTATGAAACCTCAAAGAGGTACAACCTGGTATTTCTTTCAAATAACGGTACAACTCTGATATAAAAATATGAAATTTGGTCCACGGTGGGGCAGGCTAGAGTGCTTTACTATTTTATCATCTTCCATACAGAGACGGCATGCACTGTCGTCCGACGACAGTGACCTACACGTAGGTTTTTTAGACCACGTAGGTCATCACTGCTATAATGTAACCATTGTTTGTTAAATATTTGATGCCAATGACTGGTTCTGGTCCAATAAAACCGCTTGCTCTTGCAATTAAGTTAGCAGCTTCTTTAACTTCTGGTCCAGTGTGCGGGCTTGAATCCAGACTAGAGAAAATTTGTTGAGTTTTTCTATTGTCAGTTTACTAATGGTTTATAATGGCGTAGATTTCCGTTAGAAATACGGTCATTTAGGTCCCTAGACAGGATGATATCTCTGTCCTGGGTCCGCGACTTTTTATCCCTGCACCAGAACCTGAAGGAGATTTTGATCAATCTGTGACTACTCAGAATTAGGACTATAAGGCAGTTGATAGTTTTAAATATTGTATAGCTCATCTCAAATTCTGCGACTTTCAGTGTAAGCCAATAGTATGTTACGCTCCGCATGAGCCTGTTTTGTGGAATCAGCAATATGCACAAATACCTACATAGGAATAGAGCTCCAGAACGGGTATTGTCTAATTACTGGCGTTCTTGAAACATTGGATAATCTGCGATTTGGTTGTTATTCGCCAGAACGAGTGGGTTAAGGGATATTTGGATCTCTGCGATTGATATGTATGAATGCCTGCGAATGATCGTAGCACGAACTCAAGAATAACGATTTTAGAGGAATCGTTTTCACGAACGACCACAGAACTAAGAATACGTAGAACTGCGAGTGATTTGAGAATAGCCCCCTATTTGTTTTGTCATAATCAATTTCTTTCTCATAAAATTGAAGGTTTCTTTGGAAAATAAAGTTATTATTGTACATTTCTTCAATTGTTGATGTTAATATGTTTATAAGCTTCTTAGTTTACATCTTATCAGGATTACTAGACTTTTCAGAACTTAATCATAAATATAAGAAAATGTACATATCAATACGATATAAAATTGACGATATTTTTCGAAATATGTGATAGTGGATTTTTGTAGTGCGATGTTGAACCGATAAGTTACCAGAAAACATACTGGTGAAGTATGTTTTTCTTTACATAAGTCTAACAGGAAATTAAAGGAGGTGAATTATATACGCATGAACATATCTACAATATTTATCCGGAATCACGGATCAGTAGAAAACCGAAGCGTATTTTACTGCGATTTAATCATGCGAATGAATCACCTTCTTCGGTTTTTCGATAGACTATAGTGTAATATTAACAAAGATATTTTATCTTACCTAGCGTTAAAACTTTTGTTATTTCTGGAACAACCATCCCATCCACAATAAAACAGTCCGCCTAGACCACTAGCTGAGTGCACTTGGGATATGTGAGACGAGAGCTGATCCAGAGAGGAGTAAAATATACCGCAAGATTTCCAACGGCACTGCACCTGAGATTTCTCAGCAAATTTTATTATGTTGTTGACGATTCCTAATTCCTTCTGAGGTATTTCCACGCTGGAGACGGAATTGTCGCTATCACTCTGTAATATAAAAACGATTATTAAGACTTTATCGAAATGGTTTTTCAATCAAAATAACAGCAGAAAAAAATGAATATGAAAAATAGACGGGTAAGAAATTATATAGTTCCAAACAATAGAAAACGAATATATGTACGAGAACCGTAACGATAATAGGTAGATACCTACCGAGAATCATGTGCCCCGAGCAAGCACAGCGAACCAAGGATGCATCTGTACCGCTAAGATTTCTGTCTTAGTGCGGCAAGCCGGTATGATTTTAAGATTTGAGAGTAGAGAGGACATCATTCCACCAAGGACTGATCTATTATTATTATTATTAGATGATAGATATCGATGCACAGAGATGGTTCTAGTAAAGTGTTATCCTACTATGTCCACCAGGAATAATAAGTTGGAAAAAGTATGGTGAATATGTTATGAACCAGATGACCTTCTTTCTATTAAGCTCAACAACCATTACAAATTTTTAAAGAGCTCCAGCGACTATATCTATTCAAATTGTTTTAGATTGTATTCATTTGAAAAAATCGTTTTGGCAAATTGATATGACAAAGACGCCGTTCACCAAATGAAAGAGTTCTTGAAAAGTGTAGTTGGCGGTGTGTTGGGTTGAACCCTGAACCGATGGGCAACTGTATTTTGCCTCTCTGGATGGAATAATGCGAGATAGTTAGTCAAACAGTTCCGTGAAAGTATCTAGAGAAAAGACACTTGCCTTCCTACAGTTTTGTTCAATCAAAAATGTTCTGAAAGCTGAAAGTTTTAACTAGCAAAGGTGTTTTTGTTTGATGAATGGAGAACCTCGCGTCATTTGTGAATTGTGTTCTGAAAATATGAATCGCACAATAAGAAATGTATGTGGTACAAAAATGCGAAAATAATTACAGAGGAGGTTTTACTAGCCTATTTTAGGGCACTGATCCGTCACTTCACGTCACAGATCTGTCACTTTACGGCTCAGGTGTAGAAACGTAAAATGATGAATTTTGTAATTCATAATCATAGATATCTTATATTAGTCGAGGATATAAAAATCTTTTGATGTTCTGATAAACGGTTTGTCACAAAAGTATTATTTTCAAATAGGTTTCGCTATCACAGACCTTGCCATCACGATGATTTGATTTGAATTCAAAAACTAAAAAAGTAATTTAATAAATGAAAAAATCTTTTGATGTTCTGATAAACGGTGTGTCACAAAAGTATTATTTTCAAAAAGGTTTCGCTATCACAGACCTTGCCATCATGATGATTTGATTTGAATTCAAAAACTAAAAAAGTAATTTAATAAATGAACATTGTCGATTTCTGTTTTCAAAAAGCAATATCTGCCTTTTGTGTTTGATACTCTAACTCGAAATATTGAGGAAATAAATATTATTTGAAACACACATCTCCAATTTACTAAATAACTTTAGGGAACTAAATGAGTTATGAAATAATCCTGTTGTTTTGTCTTTTATACCGTTCATATATTATAAGTCCTATATGTAATCGTGGATTTTTACTGAATCATTAGGCCAACCTATCGCGGTAACGAAACATTCCCGTGTTTGTTGTTTGAACAATATATTGTGAATGTCTATAGAGTGTCTATTAGAGATCTACAGCCAGTTGAAGGTTAATTCGATATTCTACACCATTTATATTCCTCGTCACATATTTTTTTTTGATAGATACACATTCTGGTCGTTTCCGAACCATGCTTCCACCAGGTTTGGCCCTGATTCCAATTTTGTCATTTTTGTATTCCTAGTTTCTGCTTCTCCACGTAAATTTCCACTATTTTCCTTCAAATATTTGGCAAAGGTTTTTTGCGATCGTGCAATTATCATAATATCAATATTGGGGTAATTAACCCATTTATTTCCTGTTGAATTCACCCTTGACAAATGAATAAATTTCAGAAAATTGTTGGGAAAAAGATAGACCCAAACCCGACATTTTTTAAATCGTAATTAAGCTAGTATGGTAACCCTATGTAGAAATGTCAGGTTGACCTGGAGTAAGTGAAACCGAATACATGAAAGGGGTTTATAGGTCATCAGATAACCTTTCATTTTTTTTAAATACACTTCATTCACAATCGGGATGGTTCTGGCCAGGCGACTCTTCAAATGCACTACCAAACATTTTTGTTTACCATTTTCTACATAAACAATCGGTATTCACTCGTATGAATCTCTATCTGGGAAACTGACGACTGTAAATTAATTTCTCCAAAATATTTTATCAGTTTCACTCTAAATAAAGATGTGTTGCACTGCTGGTAGAATATTTATTGGTTCAGTGATCAGTCAAACTCACGTACAAATAAAAATATCCTAATTGGAGCATTGAAATGATCCAAAGTGAAATGATGCCATTCCTCATTTTCATGGAATAAGAGATATGATGAGAGTGGGCTCTTTATGAACAGAAGAACATGTGAATTCAACCAAGAATAACTACCTATAGTTAATTATCATTTGACATATACTATGAGGCACATGATGCTGAACTGCTATTACCAATGGTCGATTATTGACTATATTAATTCATATTTGTTTCCTTACCTGTGTACTTATTGGAGACGATGCCATTATTTCCATTGGCATTTCCATTGTGGTGTGGTAGGGAACGAAGTTTTGTATGTAGCGAATATCGTCTGGCACTTCTAGTTTCGGATAAGGGTTGAAATAGTGCAGGGGTTGTCCTACGATCCTGAAGGGTGAAACAATCATTTTCTCAATTTTCTTCAAAACTGAACCACAATATAACTTTGATATGAGTTCTCGCACTTTCAATCAAATGAATGTGATTTCACTGACATGATGATTTGAAAGACAGCTATGAAGTTACAAATTTATGAGTCAGGAATTGACTGCACACAAACCCCAAGATAACCAGTGGAGGGAAAAGTAACTTTGGTCGGGATCAATGCTCTAAAGAGATTATAATTGAGAAAGATACTTTTTAGAAGAGATTAGTTTTTTGGGAAAACACCTTCCAAAATTAAATAGATCAAAAAAGTATTCTGCCTTTTCAACACCTTTTTGGATGTCTATATTATCTATAACTGTATGACTATAATGCCTATAAGTATAATCCACTCAGTCCTTGCAAAAATTTCACGACTACTTATATGATTCTGGAAAAGACCAATGTGCCTCATGCAGGAAATCGTTCAGGTACATATTGAAGAAGATGTCGTTTTTTAGCTAAATTGAAAGTCTAATATACATAAAAACTACTTACTAGACGAACAAACCAATTATCTTAATAGATGAATATATTTCAATTTCATTTTGAACACAGATGGAATTTTATTTTGTATTAATTTTCTATTCAGAAGTAGACTAAATTTTTTAGGAAGATGTTTAAAATGAAAAGATTTGATATGTTTGTTCGGCATTTCTATTTCAATTCAAAACCTTTTCTTGCTTATGTGTTAGAAAGGATGCTTCAATAACGATTCACGAGGAGTATAACATACTTTTAGTATATGATATTTTCACCATCTAAAAATACCAAATAATAATAAAATGAGAATATAAAAATACTTTTTTAACTAACCGAAGTTCCATCCATTCCACTTCATTAAGAAAATAGTTCTCATCACGAATGTCATTAATGAAATTGTGCCTTTTTTAACTCTGGAACCCAACAGTGTTTCGACTAGGCTAGAACCTTCAGAGACCTTGGTACGTGCAAAAGGTTGTCAAATATATAGATTCGTTGTTTCTAATCAGAGCACATGATTCTTGAACTCAATACTTGTTGAGAAATAACTCAGAAAAAAGTTGTCAAGAGAAATGAACTGCGTACTCTTTTTTTGGCGAAAAGACAGAAAGGCAATCGGTGGAAATATAAGTGAAAAGAACGCGTGGGTTTTTTGATGACTTCAGTACTTTATTGAATATTCATGTGTTAATCCAACTATTATTTAAATAATTACAATTCAATATATTTGAAACTCCCTTGAAAATGCAAACATCAATTTAATTTTTTTTCTTGATTTCTTTGTTTCATTATTCGAACTACGCCTCTTTATAAGAATGAAATTGACTGAGACGAATGATACTTCATCTTTGTTTAGATAATATTTGCTTGAGAACAGACTGAATTGTAGACAAAAGTCTATATATAAGATAAGATGACAGGGTTGCATCAGACATTTTTATTGTTCAAAATATGTGTATTTATTTTCAAGATATGAGTGAAATTTCTTCTGAGAAGGTTCGTTTTCTTAAACAGTCCATTATCTCCAGACAACATGGAATTTTTATTAAATGTATAAATCTTTAGCCAATTTGGATGAGAATACACTGATTACTTGAACACTGTTTTTTTCATCAAAAATTTTATTCTGTACAAATATGGATTCCGTAATTCATCTTGAAGGTGTTGAGCTATAAAAATATAGGACGGAAAAATAGCTTTACTATACTATAAGATGATACACAGTCACTCCACTAAAATCGTTAAGGTAACATGTGATCGGCATCTGCTCCAAATTGGCGATGAATCTTCAGCTGCCTTTGAGGTAACCCTTAATCTTTCTATTTTATAGTGAACTAGTGGAAAGTGATGAACACGTCGAATGCCAAGCAAATATGGTTAAAGAAATGGGATGTTTATGAAAAAATAATACCTGGGTCCTAAAAAAATGGAAAGAAAATATAAAACCTATAGAGTCTACTAGAGAATACTGAATAAAATATATGACTGATGGAAGTGTGGATCGGTACAAGACTAGACTCTGTACTCTGTGCAAAGGTTACTCTCATATTTTTCAGAATCTTTTGTTGAAATTGTTACACGCGACGTCAAAAATCTTGAAATTTGTCAGTATGATGTGAAAACAGAGTTTTTATATGGTGATTTGCAAGAAGGAATCTATATGGAACAGCCGGTTTTATAAAGGGGGTTTCAAATTCGATCCTCACCATTGGGATCTCGGAAACTATGAGAGATACGAAGATGGTTAAATTGGGGCAAAGTTGCGCATTTATCTGAGTAACAATATGCCGTTGGGAAAGTTCTGAAATTCCGAGTCTATCCGGAGATATCCGGAAAACACAGAAATTTCGGAAAAAACCAGTCTGTTGTTCAAGCTAAGAAAAAACGTGTATGGTTTGGATGGACATTTACTTGGCTTTATATGTGGATGATAGACTTACAATAAGGTGAATGAAAGTAGTTACGAGCATAGCTTTGAAGGAACTTCAATCAAAATTTGAAATTACAATTTTTGATTCTAGCCTTTATACACGTAGTCTTTGAAATAAAGCCATACAAGACCAACGACCAATATATTTGAGTCAAAAAGCATACACTTTGAAAATTTCGAATAAATTCAACATGAAGAACTGTCATTCCATTAATGTTTTGACATATCCCAATGTTATTCTTCAATCGAGTAAACCAAGTGAAAATAGCGCTTGTTCCGTATAGTCGCAAGCCTGATGTTTTTGGCTGCCTTTTCTCGTCTTGTTGTCATGTTTGCGGTTAGTCGAGGTAGCAGATTCCTGAATAATTCAGAGAAAGAGCATTGATGTGCAGTAAAGCTAACATTGAGATACCTAAAAGGGACACTTGATTATGAAATCAATAATACAGAAAATGACGTTGATTTTAGCATTTATTCAGTTGCTGATTTTGCAGGAGATGCAAATACCAGAAGTTCAACACAGTCATTTTCCAGATGCATGCGTTCGCAAGAAAAGTATCCGAGAGGAAATCATCGAGGGTTTAGCTTTTCTTTCAAAAAACTGGTGCTCTACAAATTTCCGAAGCAATCATGTATGACAGATTCGATAAATACTTGCTTATTATGTTTATTATTGTAAGGTGTTAATGCTGTACTTGACTGATCGGTCGTTTTCATTCTTTCTATTGAATTAATTTAATAACTTTCCTTTGACATACTCAAGGGTCAGTTGTCTCGACGGATATCAATATTAATAACAAGAGTATATTATTTTTCTTCTCCAATACCTCGTAGTAATTCATCATCTGTAGAGTTTTACGGATACAATTTGACATCAACTGTTCTCTTTCAAGCTTATTTTGGTAAATACTCCTCAAAAGGTTCAGTTTATAGCTGAAATTAGCTCCTTCATGTATTTTTTAGGTTTTTCACATATATCTAGCCGAATTGCAATTACAAATATGAATTATTCCAAAGACTCCATGCTGATGGAGTAATAAATGTTTGAATTGGAAATGAGTCGAGAATACCGATAAATAGTTTATATAATTTTTATAGTGGTCCATCAATTTTTACTCGATACGATTCTGTATGATATCATGTTCGACGGATCCGTGTTTTGGTTTCAAATGAAATTATTTTGTATGTCAATATAATCTGGATGAAACCGGTTATAATTTTTTCTGGTCAAAGGGGTCTGATAACGTATGGAATATGATTATTAATTGAGCTAGGATCTGGTTTCAACTGGTTTCTGATAACGCATCACTTGTTGGATGAATGATTTTTTTGAACTTTATGTAATGCATGATTAAGCAATAATATACTGTCTAAATTTAAAGGGTATATTTTTAGGAAAGATTGATTTTCGGAAAGAAAGTTTTGGCCTTCTACTTTTCCATCTTGATACAATAAATACACTTGACCCCATCTTGACCATATAAACATTGAATTACACGAAAGAAAAATACTTTCTAAACAAATCTGTTAAAATATGTTTTTCTATTAACCAGCTGTCGCCCTCCTACGAACGATAACCCTCCAAAGTCGAAACTTGTGCGAGCTAAGGGCTAACGAGGTCTTAACTTTTAAGTGTGATTCCTAACACGGGTTAGACGTCCGACCTTGCGGTTCAAACCACCAGTTCGCACAGCGGTGGATTGAGTGAGTGAAGCAAACCCATGTCAATCCACCAGGCCACCGTCTTACCGTCTTACTTTTATATGAACGCTTTCTATGGATGATTGACAAATTTTTTGTATCAAAATGGAGAAAGAGAAAGCCAAAACCCTTCTTTCCCAAAAATTAATCTCTCCTAAAAATATATCCTTCCAATTTAAACAAGATTCCTATGGCTGGGATTTAATCAAATAAACGAATGAATGTAATTTACGTACTGTCATCGATGGCATGAGTAGATTAAACTCATTCGTGACATAAAATCGTAATTTTAGTGCTTCATTTCATAATATTATCCGGATTTGGTGCTGAAGAGGCGGTAAGGCAAGTGTCTTATGCCGAAACATCGGATGTCCATGTAAGTGAAATTTTACTGCTTCATTTATTATATTGTGTAGGAATCCTGTGAATGATATCTGATTCAATTCCATACGAATGTTTGGAATACAAACGGAATAGAGAAAGGTGTTTTTCGTATAATTCAGCGTTCATATAAAAGTATTTGTTTGGAAAGTATTTTTCTTTCGTGTACTTCAATGTTTATGTGAAAATAGCTGTTTCGAGAGGGGTTTTCTTTGAGTTTGTGTCTGAAAGTTATTTCTTTGCATGATCTGCAGATCTTTATTCAGAGTTACTTATTGAAATTGATTGCTTCCTCCTTCCTTTATTTGGAATATTCCCACATTTTTTCTATCAAGCCAAAACCTTCCTTTCTGGATGTCGTTTTGTACTTAATTTTTTTAATGAGTTCAATTTTGAAATCAATATAAATTTACCTAATAGCAAATCAATATTAATTTAATTTCTGTCTGAACAATATACAGAGTGTCATAGAATCTAGTTAACAAGTGATATCTCCATTATTTGTAAAGCTAGAAAAATAAAACAGAAGCGGCATTGAGTCACACAGAATATCATTCTAATATC